ATCTACGAAGCTCTGTGTGTACATGAAAATGTAACGTCTGATGATATTTCCTGCGTGGTGCAGTTAAGCAACTCATTAGTATGTCATTCGGTTTCTCTGCTAAAGAGAAAATGCTTTGTGTTTCCGTTTAATGATAAATATGTCGTTTTTCCATTGGTAAACAATCTTGAGCGAGATTGAGAGGATGAATAAATTTTTGACTGATAAAATTATAACTGCTGATGTATTAGTGATCTTCATCCCCACTACAACCCTTGCATGACATTTGCATGTGATCTATACGACTTCCACATGATTTTCATATAACCTCCTCCTACAACGCCCGTTTGACTGCCTTCTGTTTCCCTCACCTAGCCTCCATATAACCTCCAAATGACCTTTATGTAGCCTCTATATGACCTTCACATGACCTTCATAAAGCATGCATATGACCTCCGTATAACTCCCATATAACCTGCATATGACCTACATAACTTTCACATGAGCATTGTACAATCTTCATACGACCTGCGCGTAACCTCTATATGAACTTCACGTGACCCTCACATAACCTCCATGACTTGCTCGTAATCTTGCATGACCTTCATAAAGCCCTCATGACTTTCACATGACCTTCATCTCACCTCCTTATGACCTCCATAAAGCCTGCATATGACCTCTACATAACGCTCATATAACCTGCATATGACCTTCATAAAGCCTGCATATGACCTACGTATAACTTCCATATAACCTGCATATGACCTACATAACTTTCACATGAGCATTGTACAATCTTCATACGACCTGCACGTAACCTCCATATGAACTTCACGTGACCCTCACATAACCTCCATGACTTACCCGTAATCTTTCCATGACCTTCATAAAGCCCTCATATGACTTTCACATGACCTTCATCCACCTCCTTATGACCTCCATAAAGCCTGCATATGACCTCTACATAACGCTCATATAACCTGCACATGACCTTCATAAAGCCTGCATATGACCTACGTATAACTTCCATATACCCTGCATATGACCTACATAACTTTCACATGAGCATTATACAATCTTCATACGACCTGCACGTAACCTCTATATGAACTTCACGTGACCCTCACATAACCTCCATTACTTGCCCGTAATCTTTCCATGACCTTCATAAAGCCCTCATATGACCTTCATCCCACCTCCTTATGACCTCCATAAAGCCTGCATGTAACCTCCCCATAACTCCCATGTAACCTGCATATGACGTACATAACCTTCACATGAGCTTTATACAATCTTCACACGACTTTCACATAACCCTCACGTAACCTCCTTATGACCTCTCCGTGACCTTCATAGAGCCTACATCTAACCTCCATATAATTCCCATATGACCTGCATTACCTCTACAAGAGCTTTGAACAATCTTCATACGACCTCCCCATAACCCTCACGTGACCTCTATATGTCCACCACATCCCTTCATGCAGTCTGCATCTGACCTCCAGATAATTCTCATATAACCTGCATATGACGTACATAACCTTCAAATAAGCTTTATACAATCTTCATATGACCTTCTCATAACCCTTACGTAACCTCCTTATGCCCTTTCCGTGACCTTCATGGAGCCTGCATCTGACCTCCATATAATTCCCATATGACCTGTATATGACCGACATGACCTCTACAAGAGCTTTGTACAACCTTCATACGACCTTCACATAACCCTCACGTGACCTCCATATGACTCTCACCTAACATCCATATAACTTTTATACGACCTGCATATATCTTCTATATAATTTCAATGATTCTTAACCTTCACATGCGCCTTGTATGCCTTTCATTTGACCTCACATAGCCTTCTCATGACCCTTAAATACCCCATATAACTTTTCGATGATCTTCCTATGACCTTCATAGATCCCTCATATGACCTTCACATGAACTTCATCCCTATGATCGTCATAAAGCCTGCATGTAACCTCCCCATAACTCCCATATCACCTGCATATGACCGCTATAACCTTCACATGAGCTTTGTATAATCTTCATACGACCTTCACATAACCCTCACGCAACCTCCTTATGACCTTCACGTCACCTTCATAAAGCCTGCATCTGACATTCATATAATTTCCATATAACCTGGCTGTAACCTATATGACCTTCACACAAGCTATATGTGTCCTCCATACCAACAACACATAACCCTCATATTCCCTTCACATAATCCCCATCTGACCTCCGTATAATATCAATTTGACCTCCCTTCGAACTTCACATGCATCGCATATAACCATTACATGACTCGTATATTTTATATACAGCGAAGTCATAATTTACCTCAATATTGAAAAATTATTCATCTTTCAATTATTAATTTATGTATTCATTTATTTTATTATGGAACATCCTCTGAATTTAACCCCCTATTCCTCAATTATACCGAAGCATATAGAGAAAAAAACATAATTTCCGTCAATATGGGAAAATTGTTCATTTTTCGAGTAATGAACAAAATTCTATTATTCATTTATTTATTTATTTATGTATTTATTTGGTGGCCAACGACCATGGAAAACGGCCACGAATTCCAAAATACCTATGGCCACGCCATGGCCGACGGCCATGTCCGATGGCCATGTCCGACGGCCATGGAAATTATTGTACGTGTTGGCTTTTTCCACTTGTAATTCTCGTGAGCTTTGTGAGCCTCAGACTCTAAAAATAATTTTATTTTCCCCGAAGTGACTCTCATGACGTTTGACTCTTCCTTCAAGTGACCCTCGTGACGTTTGACTTTCCACCGAGGGATCTTTGTGAGGTGTGACTCTCCCCCAAGTGATCCTTGTAACATTTGACTCTCCATCAAGTGACCCTCGTGACGTTGGACTTTCCCCTAAATGACTCTTGTGACGTTTGACTCTCCCAAAAGGGACTCTCGTGACGTTTGACCATCCGCAAGTGACCCTTGTGACGTTTGACTCTCCCCAAAGGGACTCTCGTGACGTTTGACTCTCCCCCCAGTGACCCTCGTGACGTTTGACAATCCCCAAGGTCCATCCCATAGCTACGACCATGGCCAAATGTCCAAATAAACAATTGTCTCAAGAATGGGAAAGGGACGGGCTCTGATTTTTGTGGATTTTTTTTGTTGAAAAACACTTTTTTACAATTATCTTGTAAACAAATGGGCTTACAACATTTTGCCATTGAATGTTTTTTGTAGAGAATCTACTTTCCTACAAAATACGTTTGTTTGGTGAATGTCTAGGGTTAGGATGGATGTGGGATGAAAATGTGGAGGGAGATGTTGGGAATATTACGTTCAGCCGGATTTAAAAAATCACACTTTATTTTGCGGGATCGAACCATTTGTCAAATCTATTTACACTCTTTGGTAATTTCATTGGTGAATGTCTAATTTCACTGATAATTGTCTTTTCACTTTTAATTCGTTGAGTCACTGAATTTAGACTGAATTTAATCAATAAGGTGATGTACTGAACAAAGATATTAAATTTGGAATACTGACTGAGTCTACTATATCATTCTCGTTACGATACTGAAACACAACTGAAGTGACTGACTCTTCCGGGTGCCGCGCTAATCTGTGTCCGTTGACCCGAGGTGTCACGGAGATTTTCGGAGATGGCCGAGTTAATTGACGGTGACAAATATGGAGATTTAAGCTGCATTTCGAACAACGTCTCATGATGAAATAACCTAAATTCAGTAGTTTATCAAATAATTACAAAAATGTAATTAACATTGTTATGTAATTATTTAATAATCTATTGGGTTTACGTTATTACACCATGCAACTTTTTTTGCAGAAAATTTGATTTTCTACAAAATAGTTATTTTCATCACAAGATCCACAAAGTATTTTCTGACGAATGTGGCTTCACATTCGTCAGAAAATACTTTTGGACCGTGTGATGAATGCAATTTTTCGTCAGAAGGCCCGTAAACCGCGATCAAACCGAGCGAAGCGAGGTTAGAATCGCGGTTTACCGGGTCCTCTCACGAAAAAGTTCTTTTGGCAAAATGCTGTGAACCCATTTGTTTACGAGATGATTGCCAAAACATTTTTTTTCAGCAAAATTTCACGAAAATCGAAGGCCATACTTTCCCCATTTTTGAGGTCATCGTTTCATTGTGAATTATCTCTTGAACAAAGGATTCTACTGGATTTTGTCAATAAACCTTTTTTGTGGTAAATTCAATTTACAACAAAAAATATCTGTTTGAAACGTAACTCAACCTCTCAAAGACCAAGGTCGATCAGCTCGGCCAATTACGAAAATCATCGGCCTTTTCCGGGTCAACGCTCAGGTCTAGTAGAGTTACCGTAAATCAACGCGAGTCAGTAAATCACGGTCTGTCGTATAGCACGTTTTGAATGGAATTCAACTCTGTAGAGTTTAGACTACAGTACATTAGCGTCTATTAACTCGGCGATAGAAATTCAGTAAAAGAAAATCACGTTATTTATTGACCATTCAACCAGTGACTCACAGTGCTAAAACTATAGACAATTAATTCAATTCAGTACGATCAACAAGTGACAAGGTGTTTTTGTAATTTTGACAAAGCGTGGTTCGACTCGAGAATAAATGCACGTTGATATTAGGTCAAGACTCTCAACCATTATTTCACACCGACGATCCTCTAACCTCCCAATCCACCCTAAATCTAGTTCCTCACCAAACAATATCTGAAGAGAAATTTCCGTAACTCTCTTTATTTTCGAGATAATTAGCAATTAAACAATTGTATCAAATATGGGAAAGGGACGGGTTTTGATTTTCGTGGATTTTTTTTGTTGAAAAACCCTTTTTTACAATTATCTTGTACACAAATGGATTTACAACATTTTGCCATTCATTGTTTTTTATAGGGAATCTAATTTCCTACAAAAAACGTCTGTTTGAAACGCAGTTAAAATTCAGTACATCAACGGTTGACCACAGATCGGCCACTTACGAAAATCTTCGGGAAACGTCAAGGTCATCATGACCGACGAGGATGTCACCTCCGATGATTTGGACGACCACGATAGGTTCCTGGATTCCGAATGGGCAGAATTGCTCACCATCAAGGGGAGCCTGATCGAGTCCATTCCACATGATCACCCGTATCTCGCGAACGGGGTATTCGAGCAGGCCGCCACCACCAGGAAGCAGTGCGTCAGGCTCATCAGCAGGTTGAGGGGTCAACTAGCTAAGAAAGCTCAGCCACCCATTACACCACCGAGTTTTCAACACCACGATCAGCTGAAGAGACTGGACATCAAGCCTTTTGAAGGCAATCCTTCACAGTGGAAGGAGTTCAGTGACCTCTTCACTTCACTGATGGGCAGCAAATCTACAATTCCCCCAGTGGAGAAATTGGTGAGGCTGAAGAGCAGCCNCTGAAGAGACTGGACATCAAGCCTTTTGATGGCAATCCTTCACAGTGGAAGGAGTTCAGTGACCTCTTCACTTCACTGATGGGCAGCAAATCTACAATTCCCCCAGTGGAGAAATTGGTGAGGCTGAAGAGCAGCCTCAGAGGACCAACAGCAGCTCTGATCTCTACGATACCCCTCAGCGATCAGAATTATGAGAACGCATGGAGAAAGCTCCAAAAGAAGTACGATGATCCCAGACTTTTGGCACAGTACTTATTTAGTCGAGTCCTGGAGTTGCCAAAAATCACCAAACCCACGGAACAGAATCTCACCGACAACGTGGCAGCAGTGGTCGAGTCGCTGGACCAGCTCAGAACAGTGGCCGGCCTTTCAGAAGCGAACCTAACAGAACAGCTGTTCGCTCACCTCCTGAGGAAGTCCTTGGACGCAGAGAGCCTCAGACAATGGGAATTGAAATTGGGAGACGCCAAGGATTTCCCCAGCCTCAAAGAGTTCGTCGTATTCGTGGAGTCCTGTGCCAGGGGTATCAACGCAGGGTCCAAACTCCACTCCAGACAGCAGATCACCGCTCCCAGCAAACCACCTATTAAGAAGAAAGGAGCTTACGCAGCAACTCAACAAGTGGAGGACAGCGCTCAGCAGAACAGTCACCAAAGGAAAGAGTGTTCCATGTGCAAAGGGAACCACTTTGTCGACAAGTGTCAGCAATTCAAGGAGCTGGACCCAGTAAAAAGAAACGGCCTGGCCATCGACAAGAAACTATGCTTCAGGTGCCTGGGCACGCACAAAAAAGACAGGTGCAGCTCAGACGAACAATGCCACAAGTGCAAAGGATCTCACCACACTCTGATCCACGGAGGCAGCAGGTACACAGGATGGGCTCCTCCACGTCGTGACTCGGAAGCTGCAGGGTTCTCTGGAACTGCCAACAGACCTGCAGAAGAGAGGATCGACGAGGACCAGAGTAAGTGAATGTTCCTTTAATATAATCAGTACATTCACTTTCTCATTGGTCATTCCCACAGCTAAGCCCAGTACATCAACAGCAGCAGTTAACCTCAACAATCAGATGACCAATGGGAACCAGCAGTCAAATCAACCTTCAGAAGATCAACAATCGGTGCTGCTGGCGACAGCCCGAGTTACAGTGAAATCACCACGAGGATTCTCCAGCAGAGCCAGAGTCCTCATCGATCAGGGATCAGAGGTGTCATTCATCTCAGAAAAACTAGTAAATCAACTGCACTTGCCCAGGAAATCAACAACGTTGGAATTAATCGGAATTGGAGGAGTTAATTCCGGCAGCACGAGAGGATTGGTATCAGTTACACTTCAGGCAATCAACGGAAATCAACAGGTTCAGATCAGCGCCCACATATTGAAGAAACTCACCGCAATTCTACCATCGTTCTCATGTGCCTCAGCGAACATCGGTTCATTAGAAAATCTCCAGCTAGCAGATCAGCAGTATCTCAAGCCCGGACCAATCGATATCATCATAGGGGCTGACAACTACGGGCGAATCATCAGAGATGAAGTTGTCAAGTCCAAGCAGTCAAAAGTCGTCGGCCAACGCACAGTCTTTGGTTGGATTCTATCAGGTCCAATCAACTGCACCGGTTGTTCAGCGAGGATCTCCCTATCAGCTGTAAGGACCTCCTCAAACGAACAACTTCTAGAACTTCTCCAGAAATTTTGGGTCCAGGAAGAGTTACCAGTTCAGCAGTCAGAAAATTCAGAGTTATCACCAGACGAGCTGGAGTGTGAGAAACACTTCAGGTCTACACACAGCAGAGATTCAACGGGACGGTACATAGTGAGGCTCCCGTTGAAAACCTCCACAGCAGCTCTCGGGGAGTCGAAATTCAAGGCTTCGCGTCAGCTCAGATCTACAGTCAGCAAACTCACCAATAATCAGGCATATGCCCAGCTGTACAAGGAGTTCATCAACGAGTACGAAACTTTGGGTCATATGCAAAGAGCACCAGAGACAGCAGAACCCGTTCCAGTTTATTATCTTCCACACCACGGGGTTCTGAGAGCAGATGCAATCACCACAAGGTTGAGAGTCGTCTTCAACGGCTCCAGCCCCACTTCATCAGGAACGTCACTCAACGACATTCTACATCCAGGTGGAAAACTTCAGACCAACGCCATGGACGTTCTAACATGGATGAGAAAGCACAGGCTCGTGTTTGGCACTGACATAGTCAAGATGTTCAGGCAAATACGAGTTCATCAGGACGATTGGGACCTGCAGAGAATTTTGTGGGTTGACGACAACAAACAGCAAATCTCCTACCAGCTCACCACCGTCACCTACGGGCTCAATTGCTCCCCATGGCTGTCTCTGAGAGTTCTCCAGCAGTTAGCAGAGGACGAGGGTCCACGATTTCCAGCAGCCGTCGAGACAATCACCAGAGGTCGTTACGTAGACGACATCTACGGCGGAGCAGACTCACCAGCAGAACTCAAGGAGATAGTATGGCAGTTACAAGGACTTTGCCAGGCAGGAGGCTTCCCTCTCCAGAAATGGAGCAGTAATTGCCCTCAGCTCTTGCATGAGCTCGGCCTATCAACAGAGGAAGAAGTCATTCAGTTTGAAGAGTCCGTCACCAAGGTACTGGGTCTGTGTTGGCATCAGTCGTCCGACACATTCCAGTACAAATCCAGAGACTTCAAAACAGAGACGATCACCAAGAGAATTGTCTCTTCAGAGATAGCCCAGATCTTCGATCCTTTGGGATTTATCGCTCCAGTCGTCGTCCAGGGGAAAATTCTCCTTCAGGATCTCTGGAAACTCAAATGCAGTTGGGATGACCCCCTCCCCGAAGAGTACATTCACCGGTGGGAGTCATTTCGCCAGGAACTCACCGAACTAGATAAAGTTGCAGTACCCAGATGGCTCAGAATCTCACCTCAGACAAACGACATCCAATTACACGGATTCGCAGATGCCTCAACAGTAGCTATGAGTGCTGTGGTCTACATTCGCACTCAGAATCTCAACGAGCCAGCCTCCACAGTTTTGGTCTGCGCTAAGACCAAGGTAGCACCGATCAAGCGCATGACTATTCCACGTCTGGAACTTACTGCAGCTCTCCTGTTAACTCAACTCGTAACATCAACGCAGCAGATGCTCCAGCTAGACCAGGTAGAAACTCACCTTTGGTCAGACTCAGCAGTAGCTCTCGCGTGGATCAGGAGTCCGGCCTCGAGATGGAAAGACTTCGTCCACAACAGAGTGGTAAAAATCCAGGAAACTCTCCCGAATGCCACTTGGAGACACGTCAGTGGGAAGGAGAATCCAGCCGACTGCGCCTCCAGGGGCATAACACCAAGTCAGCTAGCAGATCATCACCTCTGGTGGACAGGACCTGATTGGATAAATCAGGACCCTGAAGACTGGCCACGATCAACTATCAATGCTCCACCAATGGACATCCCAGAAGTGGCCAAAGAAGCGAAACCAGCAAAATCTCACCCAGTCGGACAGAGAATCAACGAGATTGCCGAGCTCCTCAACAGATACAGCACGATGGCAAAGCTGTTAGCAGTAACAGCGACCATCAACAGGGCCATTGACAGATTCAGGAGGCAGCCAATGCCCCCGGGATCTATCTTGACGACCAGAGAACTCAACGATGCGAGATTATTTTGGGTAAAAATAACACAACACCAGTACTTTGTTTCAGAACTCAGGGTACTTCTCAGAAATCAGCAGCTACCTAGAAATCACCAGTTAGCGAAATTCACTCCAACTCTGGACGAGGAGGGCATCATGAGACTTGGGGGACGCCTCAAGAACTCAGAACTCCATCCAGAACAGATCCACACAATAATCTTGCCACGTCGGTCCAGATTCACCACACTCGTCATCGCAGAAGCTCATTAGAAGACCCTCCACGGAGGGACACAGCTCACCTTGGCCTACACTCGGCAATGCTATTGGATACTCGGTGGTAGGGGCATAGTTAGAGCCTACATCCTACGCTGTGCTATCTGCGCCAGACACCGAGCTGGACAGGCTCAGCAACAGATGGGTCAATTGCCCGCAACCAGAGTCTCACCAGCAAGAGCATTTCTCCACAGGGGGTGGACTATGCAGGTCCTTTCGCCATCCTCAAGTGGAGACCCACGAATGCTCAACCGGGATCAGTGCACATCGCAGTGTTCGTGTGTTTCACCACGTCAGCAGTTCACCTAGAGGTCGTCAACAGGCAAACCACAGACGCCTTCCTCGGAGCTTACAAGAGATTCACCGGAAGTCGAGGTATTCCAGCAGTCATGTACAGTGACAATACCACCACCTTCGTCGGAGCAGCAGATCAACTCGAAAGGCTCTATCACCAAGCATCTAAAGAAAATCAACGTGTTCAGGCTGCTCTCGCCACCAATGGCACTCAGTGGAGCTTCTCACCACCTAGAGCACCCCATTTTGGTGGCAAATGGGAAGCAGCAGTAAAATCAAAGAAGCATCACCTCAAGAGAGTCCTGGGAACGACAACGCTAACATTTGAGGAACTCAACACAGTCTTAGTTCAGATTGAAGCCTGCCTAAACTCCAGGCCAATCTGTCCGATGTCAGACGACCCAGAAGATCTTCAGGTTCTCACCCCAGGACACTTCTTAATCGGCGAGCCTCTACAGATAGTACCAGGGTCATCCTACGTCGACGAGAATCCCCTCAAGATGAGGAGATGGAACCTCGTGACTCGGATAGTTCAGCAGTTCTGGTCCAGGTGGTCCAAAGAGTGTCTCCAACGATACCAGGCTATCTACAAGTGGAAGACACGTCAGCAGAACATCGAGGTTGGTAACATGGTGCTGATGGTCGACGATAACCTTCCACCAGCCCAGTGGCCAATCGCCAGAGTCATCGCGACTAGACCAGGAGCAGATGGGCTCACCAGAGTAGCCACAGTCAGAACGAGCAAAGCAGAAGTCGGCAGACATCAAGATGGGTCGCCTAATCTCCAGAACATCACAGCAGCCCACTCGGTGTTTGACAGACCAATCACCAAGCTCTGTCTGCTTCCTACAGACCCACCTACACCAGAACAACCTCCAGAAGAAGATCACCCAGATGATGAAGACGATCAACAGCAAGGGGACATCCAGGAACTGCAGGACTGAGAGTTAAGTATCATCTTCCATATGTTTTTAATTTGGCAAGTGATACGTCTCTCACCCTGTTTTTCTCCCCTTAGCAAGCATCAGCAGAACCAGAATCAGCAGAACCAGACCAGCAGAAACCAGATCCAGTAATTCAACAACCTGATGTTGAATGCCCCCGGGGTATTTGAAACGCAGTTAAAATTCAGTACATCAACGGTTGACCACAGATCGGCCACTTACGAAAATCTTCGGGAACCCTCGGGTCAACAGTCACGCCTAGTCAATCACCGAATCTCAGCGTTAGTCAGTCGTAGAGAGTCGTAGCAAATGAGTTGAGCGAGCAGTATATCGTTTTTCTAAAGCTACTTTCGGTTGTCCGAACAGCGTCAGTACATCACCCGTTCGAGACATTTTGTTTTCTCAGTACATCTCCTATTTAAATTCTCAGTACAGTCTCCTATTATTCAGTATATTATTCAGAAAATCTCCAGTGTTAAATTCAGAACAGTTTGAATTAATTTCAGTGACAATTAACAGAGTGTAACAAGTGACGCTAAGGTGGTTCGATTCCACCGAATAAATCAGTATATTTTTTATATACTCAGTGCATTCGTTTTTCACCGGCATTTCCACTACCCCTTTCCCAATCAACCCTAAATTCAGTTTTCCCTCCAAACAACGTCTTATAATGAAATAACCTAAATTCAGTAGTTTATCAAATAATTACAAAAATATAATTCACATTGTTATATAATTATTTAATAAACTATTGGGTTTACGTTATTACACCATAAGACGTTTTTTGTAGGAAATTTGATCTTCTACAAAAAAGTTTTTCTTGTAAATTGCTGTAAACCCATTTGTTTACGAGATAATTGCAAAAAAAAAATTTTTCAGCAAAATTTCACCAAAATAAAAAAATCAGAGCTCTGGGGATTCCACAAACAATTAATAATTATTAATTGTTTACTCAAAGCGAGAGAGGAAAGAATCATTCTTTTTCTCTTTCGTAATACCCTCCAAAAACATAATAAGAGCGACAGAGAAGTATCGTTCCTTCTCTTTCTCGCTCACGAGTGGAAGGGAAACTCTATCCCGCCTCCTGCTCAGTGGAAGGGGCATCACGTACACTGATATGTACAGCCACACGGACGTATAGCTGCTGAACGCTGTAGCGCCATTGGCTGTCCTTCTCACCCTAATAACTCCTCAGGGGTGCTTCGGATCAAAAAGTGGAAAAGGACTTTTCTGTTCAGAATCACCCCGTGAACCTGCCGGTTTCGGATCGGCATGTACTTCAGGGACACCCTGTATGTAATATCTTCAAAACTACGCACCTATCTAATCTTAAATTGATTAGGATTTTTCTGGCTTCCAATCTGAAGATTAAAAAAAAGCAATTTTTCTCGACACATTATCTTGTATAATTTTCAATTGATCGATTCTTCGTGATGCACTCATCTTATTTTTCAATCTAATGGCTATGGATCCATTCGGAAGCTTACTACCACTGGCATTGGTAGAAGTGAAAAATAAAAAAGACAACTAATGCATGTAGTAATGATCAAATATCTTCTGCCGAGTAGGCTCGTTCGACTGCTTGTCTTTTTCATATTCTACAAAGGTTTCACATATATTTACGACATTGCTTCAGAAAGGTTCAGTTAAAATTGGAGGTGAGGTAGCTAATCTGCAGATTAGCTACCTCACCTCCAATTTCAACTGAACCTTTCTGAAGCAATGTCGTAGCCTATTTTTTGTTATTTATCGTCACTTTGGACCGTCGGAAAGGCTTTAAAACACGTGTAGATTGAATGAATATTAGGGTACTTACCTCACCGCTCTCAGCGTTACCCAGGGTCAACGACGTGGACGTGGCGGTGTCTGACCCCTCAGACATCACATGTTGGTACAAATAAGACAATGGACAACGACGAGGGGGGGGGGTTAGAAGGATGTTCACAATATGCCTCGCTCAATACAACAATACCTCCGCTGCCGTTCTCACAGCAAAAACTGAAATTTCACAAGATTGTCTTGAGCGAACCACACCGAGCAGCCTCTTATTGTTGGTGAGGGTTAGCCTAAGGTGGATAATGTCTACTTACAGTGCTGAGGAATTCATTCAATCTGTCATCGAAAGCCACCGCTCGCCTGAACAGAAATTCACAAAGATAGCCATGATAGTGCTCGTCACAAGTGCCATACCTCCTAAGTGATCCTTTGAGGTCTCTCCACGATCTCTCAATATTTTGCGTGTGTGCCCCCGTCAGAGGATCCACAAAATTGAGACTATGGTTAACTGTGAGATGACTGAAACCTTCAGTGTCTAGTGAGTGATATGCTCTCCATCGATCCGACATGATGGTCGTTCCAGGTCTAATCCATTGTTTTATGTTATCGATAAGAGTTGCAGCAGTACTATCCTCGACCACAGTAATCAATAGTGCTTTGGACCCTCTTTCGAAGGCTCCAAACACCCATTTTCCTTCTATTACTCTCCCCTTGTTATAGTTTCGGTGACCAATCTTGGTCTCATCGATTTCTACTATGATCCCACAGCCTCCGATCATATCGGATCTGTCTTCACACCAATCGATAAACACTTCTCGAACAAAGTTGGACCAGTCCACCACTGTGTGTCTGGCCAGCTTTAATTCGTATTCGAAGTAAACTTGTTTGGGGGAGTCATTCATTATGTATAGTCCTATGAATCTGACTGCCGTCGAGATCGGTATCTTAGCTTCAGAAAACCATGATCCATGAAACACACTGGTAAATGTTTCACACTGTACACTCCGTTTTCTCTTATGTACATCATATTCGATTGTCCTTTTTCGACACCGGAACGCCTTCCTCGGTTCGTCGAATTTCATAGCACTACCACACTTCGGGCATGTCATCTCACTACTTAACACTTGGCGATCTTGTAAGAATTTAATAAGCTCACTTGGCTTAGAGCACAAATCATGTATCCCAAATAATCGCATGTTCACTCGACCACCGGCTTCTAATGACTGACCGCGTCAACACCTTACCCAAATACCGATGGGAACACGGGTATAGTCAGTAGCAACAGTCTCTACTACATTCCAAGGAATGTAAACACAAGTGTTGTTTGTGTTTCTTTCTATTCAAAATCTATTCACTGGTATTTCTCCGACACAAAAGGCCTGAATTAAAGAATATATTGAAGAGACATTGTCACCCAGGCCTCAATTTGAAATTAATTCTGGGTGAGGTAGTCAATATGCACATTTACCGGCCTTCTTCCCTCTATTCTCCATGACACTATGCAGGGTGTCCCATTTGAAAAGATGCGGCTAAATATCTCTCAAGGGGGGCGGGTAACAAAAAAATATTTAATACAAAAATTGTAGGGTTTCGAGGGGGACATCTGATGTTGTCATTATTTTGACCTTTCAAGCTCACGCTTGCCAGCTGCAAGCACAAAGTGCTTTTTTTCAAATGACAACCGCATTTTTTATTTTAACGAAACTTGTTCATCTTGATGAGTTGTTTTCAGAAACCTCATCATTCATTTAATTTCATCTTATTTTACTCGAAAAATGCCACAAAAACCAGTTCTGTGGTCGAATTCAAGATTCAAATATCCTTGGCACATCTTGGTGTAATTGTTCCATTGATCTGTTGACACACCGGAATTCTCAAATATAAACAATAAACAAAACATTTCCCTACTCCTTCGAGGATTCTTTTATTCTAATCGGTGCCAATTCAACCCGAATCAAGTTAGTATCACTTGTTATTTCATTGAACACATCACGATGTATTCATCCAGTGAAATTATCGATATTTTACTTGTTTTGGGAGAGTGTAGGGGAGTGTATCGAGCCGCTGCTCGAACATATCGAGAATGGTACACGTTCCACGTGGTGCATCCTGGGTCACGCTAAAAAAAGTCTGAATCTTCAATTTGGCCACAAAACCCTTTTTGTGGCATTTTTCAAGTAAACTGAGACGAAATAAAAAGAGTGATAAGGTTTCTGAAATCCACTCATCAAGATGAACAAGTTTCTTTGAGGTAAAAAATGCAGTTGCCATTTGGTAAAAAACACTTTGTGCTTGCAGCTTACAAGCGTGAGCTTGAAAACTCAAAATAATAACTACATTGGATGTCCCCCTCGAAAACCTACAATTTTTGTAGCAAACATTTTTTTGTTACCTGCCCCCTTTGAGACATATTTAGCCGTTTCTTTTCAGATGGGACAGCCTGTACAAGGTAGAACACTGTTGGCAATTTCTGCATGCAAAAGTGAGAATTCGAGTTGCCCTACCAACAACTCAATGGCTTGCGTGTGACCGTTTTCGTTTAGAAGATAATGGAAATATGAGAAATGTATATGCTAGTTCGTTGCTATGTGAATATCTTCGTAAATATTCAACGGACTAAATTAATAATTGCATCAGTAGAAAGCGGATTGGTGATTTATATAGTGTAACTACGGACAGTTTTCGTTTAAGTGGGCGCATTTTTCATTAATTGATGGAAAATCAATTGAGGGTAGTAGAAGGGGAAGTTGTGTTGTGTATACATACTTGGTAGCTCTCATTGTTTTATTGTTGTGAGGCTATGAGGCGCGACTTGACCCAATACGCTACGGCGTATCTCGATTGTTCTTTTGCATAGAGTGCGTAAAGTTGAACATCAAAAGATGGAAAATTTGGAGTACGTGAAACAAAGTTCATTGCTATACTTCACCACCAAACTTCACACTCGTTATAACCAGCCACTTATACTGCCCGTGTAGAAATTCAAGCGGAGATGCGGCTGAAACTCCGCTCACGTGCTCGACCGACCGCTCAGCCTCGGCTTGACTGTATAACAAGTAGAGATTGAGCGGAGAGATTTCTAGATGGGTATCGATGTGGGTTAGATCCGAAGGGCTCCCTTAAGGTTTCTGCACATCAACCACATGCATAACCAAATTACGCTGCCACGTATTTCAATATAGAGTTACCAAATTCATAATTCCCTATCCTAATTTTTTTCAGTC